CCAATTTAACACGTGAGCTTGACTACGCCAAGTCCAACAGCAAGCTCTGCACGCAGAGGGATGGGCCATGTGGGCCCACGAGGACGGGCAGTCCAAGGCAGGGCAGGCAAAAAGTCCAGACAAAGGTAAGCGACGGAGCCAAAGTCCAGACCAAGGGCAGGCACGGAGCCAAAGTCCAGACAGGCCGCGTCAAGGCGGTTTCCACTTCAGGAAAGCGTTGGAAGGGAAAAGCCGCACATCGGACCTGAAGAACCAGATCCTGTCAAGGCTGCAGTCCACGCGGTAGTCCTCCTGAAACTGTTGAGGCAATGGCACGGTGGGGTCGTCCCAGCGAGAAAGCCAATCAGCATCATCATTCTTTCCACCTGGCACGTGACTGACGTCTAACTCAATGCCAGTAACGCAGGCCAGCACGCAAAGCCTCTGCAGAAAGGCTGACAAGGGGTAATGTGAGCTGTAAAGCTTGTGAATGCCAGCCTCGGCCCCTGACAAGGTGCGAAGACGGACCACCCAGCGTGCTGACGGCACTACAGAGCGAAGGCACAGCATAAGGCCAAGCTGTGCCAAAGCCTCATAGCAGGTAATGTCTCTATGAGACGGATGTTGCAAAGGAAGGCCAAGGACAGCAAGGTCATCCAGAGTCCAAGTTTCACTGAACCTTGGCCTCTCAGCCAAATTCACACGTGAGCTCGACTATGCCAGACATGAACTGGCAAGCCTTGCATGGCAGGAAATCCCAGGCTGGAAATCCGCGGCACATGAAAGCCACCTAAAGAAACCGTACTAGACCAGGGCAACTTCCCCTTCAAAGAAATGCAGCCCATCTTCTCCAAGGAGATAAGGGCCCACGCCACTGGGAAGGCAAGCAAGAGGCATTGTGAGAAACAAGGGCCCAGGACCTTGTAAGCTGCGTGGCGTTAGAGCCATGTAATCGCAAGCACTGCACCCTAGCAGTCAAAGCCAAGGTGAAAAACCGAAGCCCTGCAGGTAATGCGAGCAAGGGTAAGGGTGACCAAAGCCACCAAGCCCTGCAAGCC